AGTACCCTTAGGGGAGCCATTGGGTGTTGAGCTTTTCTAGAAGTGTATCGTTTCTATACAGAAATGCAAAGAGATAATACAGTGAAGTCTTTTTTTTTTCTTCAAAACAGTGTTTCTGTTTTAACTAATGTACGTATCTTGTTTAAAATGAATCTACTGCTTGAAGCTGCCTGCAATTTCATATGCCTTTAGTGTGACTCGGTAAATAATGCAGGTCTTGCTCCAAACTCTGAAGTCACCAAAGGCCTGAGAAAAAAAATTCAATAATGTCATTAATTAGAAACTGAGTGAAAAATTGCAGTATACCAGGCTTTTGAAGTGGAAGCAGAATTACTTGTCTTGTGGTTACTCTTCTGATACAGGTTTCATTTTCTTCAGTTAAACCTGGCTTTATAAGTGCATTAATGATAGCATAACTAACTATTTGGTTATATGGTGACAGGTGAAGGTATTGATTTAATCACAAGCATGAACTTGACTTTTAAATCTTCTGGCATAAATTCAGACTGCGAAAGAAACATGGCATCACATGGAGGGAGGAACCCCAAGGTGTGTTGCGAGGTCTGAAGTGTTGGATCCCAAACGTTTGCACATACAAGAATGTAATCATCGTAAAAGAAATTGCAAACGCATGAAAATCCATTGCATAGATGTCTATAAAAGGCGATGTCTATAACAACAGCCAGGACAGAGATGGTAACAGCAGGATCTTCCTCTTTGATGCCTTAGTTGGCTTTGGAAAGGGACCTGAAGCCCAGATACCTGGAGAGCCACAGGAAGGAGAGGTGCCAGCCCCTTTGCCCGTGTAAATCAACATCTCTTCCTGGGCTACTCAGCGTTGCTCCAAGTGAGGATCTGTCCCGGCAGAAGTTAAAGCTGGATTGAAGGTTCTGGGCTGGTGACTTGGTTTTTGCACCAAGGGTGAAGGGAGCTAGTTGGTTTTTTTTTTATCAGAAGCGGAAAACTTTACTGGCTATGGGGCTAAGGGTGAGATGGGGAGCCATTAGCTGTTGTTTCTGCCAGAGTGAAAAATACCAAGGCAAAAGTAATTGGGCTGGAGAGAGCATTAGATAGACCATGAGATGTAGAAACTGGATTATTTGTTTTATCTTGGTGCAGTGGTCATTCACCTGATAACATTAGTTTCTCTTAAAATATAATTAACATTTTATTCCACTAAGCATCATTGTATATTAGACGTTAGTGGAACACAGCACAGTATGTCGTAAATACTGGGTTTGGTGCCTAGATGGCTAATTCAGTGCTAATGTCATTATCAAAGGTTGCAGAGGAAGAATGTCCTAAAAAGTCTATTCCTCATGAAATCATCTCCTGTAGTTATTCACATGTGACTAATGATGCATCTTCTGCAGAAACTTTCATTTATTTATTTGCTATGTCCCCTTATTCTTCTTCAGAAATGTGAAACAGAACAAAAAAAAGATAGAATCAGTTTTCTGTGCTTTTATTTGCTCCCTGATTAATTTTGGTCTCAGTAAAGCAAAAATGTACATTAGCAATTTCACACCTTGTTACATCTTCTGTTTGCTTTCATCACAGACATGGCTGGTTTCATGAATGGCAAACATAAACATAAATGATGTAATATCCCTCTGATTTTGAGTGTCTTGCTGAGAAATTAGTGCATATGTGCAGATTACCTGTAAAGCAACATGTGAACAAATCACGATGTACGTCCACCCTTTGTAGTGTCAAGGCAGGGATTTGAACAAGACTTCTGCCTGCTTACATAAGAAACATGGGAGATTGCAGCTTTATATGTCTTGACTCCTACGTGAATTTGTTTTTTTACATGTTGTACTCCAAATGGAAGTGCTCCGTGGCTTGGCTTCTTTCTATTAAAAGGATGCTGCCCTTGCAGAAGCAGTGACCTTTGAAAAGCAAGTCTCAAGTAATCCTTTTATTTTCCTGAGATCATATAGCACAGTATCCAGTTGCAGGCTTTTAAGATGGAATGATTGCAGACTTTGTCTGCTTGCCTAGATTGGATTACATTTTGTTTGACAAAGAAAACTCTAAAATACTTATACCTTCCTTCAGTTCAGAGCATTGTAATCTCTGTGCGCTGAGGATGCAGAGTAGTTGCTGTATCATCCCAGCACCACTGGGATTTATTGAATTTACTTAATTGGCCTTTATCTCACAGTTACACTTTAACGCTTCTTTTGAAGGAGATTCAAAAAGGATACAGTTACTCCTTTTCTAATTTACTTTGAGAGTTGGGTTACTCATTTTCTTATCTTCCCTCCTTTTCCCGGTAGAGCAGAGCATTATGCAGAGCCACGACTGAACGTGTTCGAGACTTGCACGACAGATATTTAAGTCCATGAAGCTGTTAACTAGCAAAGCTTTTTACACACTGCTTTTTAAAGAAGATGCTCTGTTTTAGGGGAGTAGGGAGGTTGACAGGCACTTGGGAGTTTGGATGGCTGGTGGTGCATTTTGTGTTGTACCTTGCTGATGCACGTGAAGGAGAGCTAAACTCCCCTGAACCTCCCGGGGAAGGATTTTGCAGCAGAGTTCAGGAGCTCTTGCATTGTTCTCTTGTTTTTAAAGCACTTGTGAGCCTCGGTCCTATAAACACCTCAGGAAACCTCAATAAAGTGGATGAAAAGTCCATGATTTGGTCAGGCGATCTTGACACTGAGAATTGCATGGTTTTCACCTTCCTGAGAGGCATTCAATACCAGGGAGAGCTGAGGTCTCCCCTCACTGCACTTCTCAAGTTTGCTTTTGCTAATAGGAGTTTAAAAAGGTTTAGTGCTCAGCTCTGACTTTCTCCATCCTGCCAGACCTCTGCTGCAGCTCTGCAAGCCTGGGATAGGTGTTGCAGGGATTTGGGGGCATTGGAGGACGGTCCCAGAGGGGCACAGGTCCCTTTTTCTGAGTATTTTGGTGTCTCCATCCCCTATATGTAGCATCCGAGTAGCTCATGATAAGATGTGATCAGTATTGTCTATTTAACTTGGGTTGTAGAATCGCGTGTTATTTGGCACCACCACCCCACAGTGAGACTTGTTTTCTGATGCCTCTGAAATCCATGTAGCTCCCTTTGCATTAGAATGGAAGTTCATCCTATTTTGACAGAGTTCACTACTCGCTGTGTCTTCTCTGGGCTAACACATCTGACCATACACATGTGCACGGACCGTATATCTCACATGCACAACTCAACTTGCTCTGCACATGCAGGCACATCACATATTTAGGCACCTGGATTAATTAATGGAAAGTTCTATACCAGATTAGCAGCTGTCTAGGTTGTTATTTGCCTTCACATAGCCCAAAAAATTGTGGAGGACATCAGCCGAGGGTAAGGTGACTTTTGCAGATGAAAAATTGTTGGTGATCACCGTGTGGTGCCTACATAAATAACATGATCATCATTCAAATCAAGGTGGTTTTTACTTGCTCAGTGGAGCAGTTGTGAGCACAGTGGTGGATGCACAGCTAAAAAGCGAGCGTTGTCTGTGTAGCTTGATGCCAGACAGAAAACAATATGGAAATGACCAACACCTTTCAGGATCCTCCAAGAGCCAAGTGGGAGAGAGATTAGTAAACAGGAGTGAGAAAAACTGGGGCTGAAAAGAGACTGAGATGTGGGAGCTTGCTTTAAAAGAGAAGGCTCGCTGCTAGCTTTCAGTCCAGGGATAATTGTCTGGAGCTCTTCCCTTACTCTTTTTGGCTGAAGATCAGACCTGGCACTATTAATTTGTTTGTTGTCTTTATTTTACTTAATGGGTTGGGTTTTTTTAGTATTGTGGTAATTAGTTAGTCCTGCATATAGGAAGTGTCTTTTTTTTTTTTTTTTTTTTTTATAGTTCCAAATACATTTTGGAAGATAAAATGTCATTTGCTACTGCTCTTTGCACTCAGTTCCCCATATGGCCACAAAGGTCTTTGCCATGGGTCTCCTCAGCCCCTCTGTAATCCTTGCTGAGAGCTGGCCTGTCTGGAGCGTGAGTCGAAGGCCCTCGGCCAGGCGTGGGCTGTCTTTTCCTCTGGAGAAGCTGCTCTTGGCCCTGTAGATTAGAGACTATGAATTTCTCCCGTCCCCTTTTCTTTTCACTCAGTGGTGTTTCCTAACCTCTGGCATGAAATACCTGGGGTGTTAAGGTTGCATTGCCCATAGTAGCTTTTGCTAGGGAGCTGGCAGGGGTGGTAACAACCACAACTTGAAAAGTCTCTGCGGATATCGGACTGAAAACAAAGGATCAAGCCTCTTTCTGATGCACATGTGTGCTGCAGAGGGCAGATAACCTTTCAGGGCTGCATCTTAAAATAATAAGCAGAGCTGGTATAGCTGCTTTCATGCTGCGGCTTCCCCAAGCATGGCGCGAACTTCTGAACCGTGATCATCATTAAAATCTTTACAGTTGCCATTTGCAAGGAATTAGCATCACTATGTGAGCTGTAATACCCCAGCGATATTTATGGAGAGCAATTGAATTATAAAGGTTGTAATGGCCTTGCTACGCCGTTCCTTGCTTCTGAAAGGAGGGGGCTGAAAGATGCCTAGGCTTTAACTACTGCACAAGCCAAAAAATAAATAGTTAAGGAGCCCACGTAACCTAAGGTCTTCTGAAAAATACATACCTTCAAAGCAGCTGAAAGAAAGCAATATGTAATCAATATGTAATTCTGATAATGTAGCCGCCTGATACATTTGAAAAGGCAAGGTGTGGGGTTTGAAAAGTGCTTGAAAAGACAAGGTTGATGTGTAAGCTGCTGATGGTAGTTCATGTTGTTACTTTGCTTGGGTGGGTGATGCTGGTCAGATCCTCAGCTGCTGAAAATCTGTGCGAGTCCAGTTGTTAAAAATGGGCAAATACCACCGAGGTGAAAACAGACCCCGCTGATCTGCAGTAGCTAAGGATCGCCTTGCGTTTGAGGATGCACTGACAAGTTTGACTTCAGCAGGAGCAGACCGTCTTACTAACCATGGTTTTTGTCTGTTCTGTTTTTCTCCTGTCTTGCAGCACCTTCTCCAGTCAGTAGTGTGAAAAAAGGGAAGATAACTAAAAATAGCATCTCCCTTTCCTGGCAGGAGCCAGATCGACCCAACGGCATCATCCTGGAATACGAAATCAAATATTTTGAAAAGGTGTGATGGATTGATTGCTGAGCATCCCAAGTACCTTCTCTTTACTGTCCTCTTCTTTTAGTTATAATTGTTTGAGTCATGGAAGGGAATGGAGCAATTTTATGCATAAATCAATGTCCGATTGATTTTGCAGTAAATGATTAGGAAGACTTGAAATGAGGGTGTTGTTTTCCGTTAATGTGCCACTTCTCTTGAACAAATACAATAAATCTGCGTGTCAGATTCCTCTCCGGCCTTATCACATTAAGACAGAGCCTGCTCATTTGTTAAAAATAGGAGGGATTGGGGATCAAGCGTCTGTCTCCTCCCGGAAACATTAGGCTGTCCCTTGCCTTTGGTATTTCAGTTTCTCGCTTGGTTTTGCACCCACAATGTAACGAGAGGAGAAGGGTTTTGCGGAGAGATTGTACCTGCTCTGACATGAAGAAGGGCATCCTGGCTTAAAAGTTTGCCTGGGTTTTCCAGCTCTGCTCTCAGTCTTATGGAAAACACTCTCTCTTCTTACAAAACTTGCCTCTCCTAGTCTTCATTTCAAATAGCGGCTTGTCCTCTTCCTGCAAAATTAATGCCGTTTAAATGAAAACAGTAACAAATGTACTTTGTCTAAATAGCATCTTTTGAGTGATGCAGCCTTAGATCTTAGGAAATCTTAGATGTCCAAAAATCAGGTTTGCAAGAGGTGACTGAATAGCAGTTTCTTGCCTTATCTGGGATTGTAGGGTGTTCTTTTTCTTTCTGAAACAGCTAGGCTTTCTACATGAAAACAAGAGGAAAATAATGAAATTGAGTCACAATTCACTTTTTTGGGGGGTTGAATTTCTATTTTAAGGAAGATCTTCCATTAGTTCTGTCTATGACCTAGGTTAAACCACCCAACGTGGACCAGGACTGGGTCCTAACTCCTTCTCTCTTCTTTCTCTGACCCATGGGAGGGACCTGCCCAAGCAGCCCTTGCAAACAGGGGAAAGAATTTCGTAAATCTTCTGCATCAGGATAAAATCAACATTATTTTTGCAGATGAGGGAGCTTGGGCAAGGGCACAAGATGCGTGAGTGGCTTAAATAGGGCTGAGGTTTTCAAAAAGATTAAAGCACAAAGCAAGAATCAGGATATGCTATTGCTGGAAATAATCCATTACTGATTCTTTTATTAACTTGTTTGAACGACTGTTGTGGTGCATTGAATCCTTACCGTGGAGTGGCCTGGGAAGATTAGCCTCTAGAAACCTTGATAATGAGGAAATAATTAAAGCCAAAAAATCCATATATTTGTTCATTTTACTTACTTTGTTTTCAAACAGATTGGGGGGGAGCGTGCTTAAAATGTTGTATTTGCGGTCCAGAAGTAGTCTCAAATAGCTTCAGTAAATAGTTCTTCAAGTGCAAGTCCTTCACGGGGAGGTAGCTACAGCCAGTCCGAGTTTATGCTGTCTTACTTATTTCTTTCAGGCTGATAGCGAAGCTTAGTGTTTTCCATAGGAAAGCTTAAGTGTTTAAATGTTTGCAGAAGCCAACAGTGTATTGAAAACCTAATTGGGCTGACATACAAGCAAAGATGTGACCTAATATTCACTTATTGCTTTTTAACCAGTCATTGAGTTAGATTTGGGATGTCGTCCTTAATCCTTCTCGTTTGTTGCTACTGTCATTTATATTCTCTCTGTTTTCAGCCCTTTATAAGGGTAAATTCACAGCATCATTTCCAAGGGATAAGAATGATCTATATTAAATGTTTTGGAAAATCGAGTTTTGTCAGATCGCATTCCTTTAAGAAAAATAGCTCCTTAACAAGAAAAAAAAAAAATATACATTACTCCAAAACAGTCTTGTGTAGCTACAGGCTTCAATGAAAAAATCTGTAATCCTACATTTGGAGATTCCCAGGGCCTTATTCAGGCATATTACTGTTTATGGAAAGGTGCCCATTAAATTAAAAAGAAAAAAGAAAAATCAGTTCAGCTCCTAAGAGCTATGCAGAAATCTTGGTAGGGAATTACTAAGAACTCCTGTTTACCTCATAATAATTTGGATCTAAGAGGATATGGTGAATAAAAAGCAGTTTCCAAGTTTGTAGTCCTTAATTTATGAGCTCTTGTCTAGATTGTGCTACAGTAAATAATTCTAAGAGTAACTGCCAAGCATTTGAGTGAAATGTTAATGAAAGAACTGAAACTCTTTCGCATTAGAAACTGATATAAATGAAGATTTATTTCAGTAAATTTTCTTCAAGTTCATTGCTTCTGAAGAACAATGCAAAATTTAGATATTTTCCTGGAGTTTTGGTTTATTATTCCCTTCCCAAGGTCTAATTCGTAGTTCTAGAAATGCCAGCATAAAGTTGTACAATGTAGAATATATTATTCTCTTTTAGGCCTAATTTCATTACTGGGAAGTCGTTTTGGTATAAATTAAAATCCCTTTCTAAGGTGATGGGACTTTTTTCCTCTTCCCTGTGCCTTGGGATTGATCTTTGCAGGATGAACCTTTCCATTGCCCCGGGCTGTGTACATCCCGAGCAATGGAAAGCTGCTCCTACTGCAGATGCTGGTTTGGTCCTCGTATTGTCATTTATGGATGGAAAGTCCCTCTGCTCTGTTTCGTACCTCCTAGAGTTATTGATTATAAAAGAGAAAATCAGATTTCACATTTTATACTGCGGAAGGGGCCTTCAGAAGCAGGGGTGGTGGGGAAGATATCCTCAAAAATGCATATTTCAGTCATCCTTTGTAACATTGCTCTGGGGGTTGTTAAAAGTCTGTCTTCTCTGAGAGCCACTATTTGTGTGTTTGAACTTTGTGTTTTTTGGGGGGGTTGGGAAAAGGACCAGGAGATGAGCTACACCATCATCAAATCCAAAGAAACGACAATTACAGCAGATGGCTTGAAACCAGGCTCGGCCTACGTCTTCCAGATCCGAGCCCGGACAGCTGCTGGCTACGGTGGCTTCAGCCGAAGATTTGAGTTTGAAACCAGCCCAGTGTGTAAGTCCTTTTAATTACTGTCAGCCCGCATCTCTGGAACGGTTACCAGAAAGGAGTCAGGGGATCCATACCTTTGCAGAGAGCTCCCCCTCATCCTGGCCTCATCCCTTGACTTTGGAAACATCAGGGACATCATGACCATGCACCAGACAGGCTAACACATCTGTCCTTGCTTCCTCATCTCACATGGTGGGATGGGAGGTGAAGTCAGGAGGTCTTCAGGCTCCAGAAATTCATAGCGTTCCCTGCTTAGAAAAATCCTGTATTTATGGGAGCTGATGCAAGAGAGGACAAGGGCTCTCCTCTCAGGAGGAGAGAGGGGATGAGACCTGCTCCTTCACACCTCTTAATGTCTGTCTGCAGAGGATGCTGAGCTCTCTTACATGTCTGCATCTGGGGAAAAAACCCTGAAATGGTGCCTCTCTGCAAGGGGAAGAATTGTACCAGCGTTAGCATCTTTTGGTGTAAGTTCCTGTCAAGTTGGAAGATGGTTTCTGTTGGCTGCCAATGCCACAGCCTCAAGGAAAGGAATTTGACTTGTGATTGGAAATGGGAAAGATGTGCACTGCAGGCACAAGACTTTGCTTGGCCTGTTACAAATTTGTGGGGTTTGAATTTTTTTTTTTAATTTTTTTTTTTTTAAAATGAATCTGATCATCCAGGTCTGGATTCTGGAGCAGATTCTGTGGTGGGGTGAACTCCCGAGGCACGCAGAGGCTCAGCTGCTCTTTCCTCTGTGTTCAGGCACAGCTGTGGGGAAATTCCTTTTGTCCTGATTACCAAATTTTTGCAGAGGTGTCAAAGATAATTTTCTCCCTCAGAAAATATGTTCTATCTATTTCAGTTTGTACAACTGTCATTTATTAGTTTTTTTATACTGTTTGCATGGAAGAGAAATTTTGTGGTGGAAATACTCTGTTCATTCCTGTGGGAAAGAGTCAGTTTTCTGTATGTTTTCCTTAGAAATTTAAATTCATCAATACTTTGATTATTGTTACTCCAGTTCATTTAAAATTCATCATCTTTGAAAAGAAGATGCTAAGCTGTCTTTTCAATGCATGCTACCTTTGAAGACATAATAGATTTTAAAGGATTCATTATACATGTGCAGATGTAGCTGTGGAGCCAGTGATTGAACTAATACAGTGCAAATTGCATCACGATGCAAACATTAATGCAATAAGAATGGTCTATTTAATGTATTTCTTATTGCATTAACCATTAATCGTGCCCTATAAGTAGCAACAAAATCATGTTATGCCGAAAATTATTCTGTATTTCACTAAGGAAATTTTTCTTGCAGTTGGAAAGTTTCTAGTTTAGAGTCATTTGAGTAATAGTGTTCCAGACTATTAATAAATAATACATGAAATATATGCACATTTGATCCAGTGCCATCGGTACCTGTGATCCTGGTCCAAAAATAATGGCACTTCCGTAAAGCCCATTGTGTAAGTATCTGTGTTAATCAGGATTTTTTGAGGACATCATGTGGTAATATCTTTAAACACTTTAAACCCCTTGAGTCATTTAGCCACACTTGCACCCCAGGCTTTTTAGCGTTTTAAAGGCAGAGGAGTAGGTAATTCTCTGATACTAAGGAGCTGACGGTGTAGTCGGAAGAATACCTGGTGCATGGTCCCCAGTTTGTGAGCTGGGAACTCTTCCTCTGTTGGACTTGAGCTCTGGCTGAAGCAGGATTCAACCAGATGTTTAAACGCTTGGTAGAATTGAAATGCAATGTAAGCCTCAGTATCTTGCAAAATGCAGCTCTGTTTGACATTTAAAACCTTTTAAAAAGCAATTTTTTTTTTTTTTCCACGGCCCTATATAGGGTCAATATTACTGCCGGGAATGTGACCCGGCTCCCACTGCTTTCCTGCAGGTCCCGGAGAATCTGAAAGCAAGCACAGATTGAAATCTCACTGCTACATCGGAGTTCAGATCTGAACTTCTTGTTAGAGCCAAAGCAAATTATTTTGATTCAAGCACAAATGAAAACCTTTTAGTGACTGTTGTGAGAATCAAAAACAGCCTCCAGAATCGTTTGGACCAAACAACAGGTTTTGTTTCCAGTTCACAAGGTTTCTGTAAAATTATTTTTATTACACTTGGAGGAAATGTGAAACAACAGCCTGAGAAATGCAATGGGGGGAAGCTGTAATTTGTTTTGGACTTTTCTCCTTTTCCAAATTTTGTTGTTTTTTTTTTACATACTGCTGCCTGCATGTGCAATTCTGCAAAGCACCATGATGCAGCCAGGGCTGCATTTTTCAGCAGAAGTTTTTTATTTGGGTGGATGCTGTTGCTGGGTGTATCCACTTGCTGCTGTCCTCCTTTCCAAATGCCACTGAGTCATCTAGCCCTGATAAAACTAACCTTGCCAAAAGCTGGTTTTCAGCAGGATTGGTGAGCTAATCCAGCTGGTCAGCCAGGTGGGAGTGGGAACGTATCACCAAGTCGAGGAGGGGTAATGCAGGTCCCCCTCCAGCTTTAAATGGCAGCAAGGTCCCAGCTTGGCTTATGAATTCAGGCGTTTTAGCTGCCATAGATCACAGCAGGATTTATCTAATTTCCCCATCCCTCGAGCTGTGCAAAAAACCACCAGTCACAGCTTAATGTTCTCCTTTAAATGTTTTTCTTTTTAATTATTTTGTCAAGAAAGCAATAAAACATCATCTTAAGGAGCCTCCATAAATTTGTGAGGCTAATAAAATCTCTAGATGATGGCACGGGTTTGGAGCAGTTAACATTAAATATTTAGCGTATTGGGGCCAATCCTTCTGAAATCATTTACATTGCTGTAGCAGGTTCGCACCGCTCGCCATTGAGTGCCGGAGAACTCCCGTATGAAGAGCTACTTGAAACCCATTGCAGATTAATGTTTAATGCCATACCTTTTCGTCTTTCTTTTCTTTTAACAATTAATATGGGACTATATTCAGTTATAGCCTCCATAAAGTTAATCCTGTGCTAAGGACCCCTTTTTACTTCAGTCATTTAGTTAAAGGCTTCTTCAGTGCGCAATCGATTCCTGCTGCTCCCTGGGGTGGATGAAGCTTCATCCAGGGCTGGCACGAGGGTAGGAGCTATAATGAGGTTTTTTCCCCGCACAACAGCAGCACCTACGCCATGGAGCTGGTTTTGCGGGGAGGAAGCCATATTTGTACCCCGGGGTGGTTAAATATATGCAGCTAAATAAGCTGGCAGCAGAGAGGGCAGGGTGAGGAGGCTTTGGTTTCTGCTTGGGGAACACCACATACAAACCCCTGGGGAGAGATGGACTCCTTCCCCTGCAGTGCAAAGCAGGTAAGATACAAGTGGTGTTAGCATTTCCATTTTACAGGCTGCAGGAGCTTGCTCACCTGCTCTTATTTAACCTGTGGCAAAACCCAGTTCTCGAACAGCTTTCCTGACCTTTCTGCTGGCATCTTTATCATGGGACTAGTCTCCTGCCTTTACAAGGCATGGGCTGGGAGACTTCTGCTTCCCTTGGCTGATAAAAAGACCAACCAGTGTATATGTCTTAGCAAATTCCTGTTTTACAAAGGGCACCTTCTGGCCATGTGGTATAGATGCCACAAGGAATTAGTTTTTAATTGTTTATAGCTTCTTGAAGCGCAGGTAATGCTGTTTATCTTGGAGATCTTGCTCATGTCTCTTAACAATAACATTCCATAAATGTTCTCTCTGCAAATGGGAACCTGTTGGGTTTTCATCTTTTATCTGTGTGATTTCTAATGCAGCTAACCCAGGAAGACAAACTTGAGTTTGCAAACTCAAAGGCTGCGTTCTGCATCACTTTGGTTTCTGAATTCAGCGATGAGATGCGATTTTGTTGGGTTTTTGGCTTGGTTTTGCATGTGTTTTTGGTTTCTTTCCACCCATTCCCTTTCCAAACTAGAAACAGACAGCAAAGGGGGAAAACACAAACCGTAAAAGAAGAAATGAACTGGTAAGACTTGAAACCTCTCTGGCAGCCTCACTAGAAAGATTCATGTGAGTGCTGACTATCATTTTAACCTTAATCTCCATTTTCTGTTTCTCATCTCAGCAGTGGCTGCATCCAGCGACCAGAGCCAGATTCCTATAATTGTTGTGTCTGTAACAGTGGGAGTCATTCTGCTGGCTGTTGTTATCGGTTTCCTTCTCAGCGGAAGGTAAGAGAAGAAGCTGTGTATTTATACTTCTCCAACTTTTGTAATAACTTTTATCTGACCAGCTGATTAGCGCGATTTACGTGAAAGCAGCATGTGAACAAAGCTGTTGAGCGGTAGCGCTGTAAAACAGCACAAGGGTGGGCTGATTGATCTGTTTGGACAGGCAGGAATGGCAAAGGCTCAGTCACAGATGTAGTTCACTTCCCAATGATTTTCATCTCCATATAGACTGGCCCTGATTATTCGACTCTCACAGGAGTGTGTTCACATTCCTTTAAAAATAAGCAGAACATGTTATTACATGTAAAATACCCTGAAGCCCATATGTTTGCACTCAGAGTTCACAATGGGCTTTGCTCACAGAAAAAAAACTTAACTTCAGCAAAACACTTGCAAAGAACAAGAGAAGAAACTCAGCCAAATGGCCAAATGCCCCAAGTTTTGGTCAGGTCTGGATTTCATTTTTTGTGTGTAGGACACTAATGTATTCCCCACGCGCTAGTAAATTACACAGAGGTCCTCCCTAGGAGGGAGATGCTCAACTTCAAACCATCAAGCGATCCCATTGACTTCTCATGTGCTTAAACATAGGCAAGTGATGAAAGCCTGGGCTATACCATCTTTGACAACTCTAATGGAAGTTGATGGAACTTGTTGGTGAACAAGGGATTGTGGTATTGGAGGAAAATCTGGCTTGTATCAGGATCAGTTTGTATTGCGGCACTAAATTTGTGTAGCAGCCAGTGCAGAAGGCACTTTTTTCATATGCTACACATGTATTAGTACATTTTTTAATGGCAGTAGTCAAAAAATGCAACATCCTTCATGCAAAGCAATGTGAGTTGCATCTATTGATAAGGCTGAATTTGTTTTCAGTGCAAAGTAAACATTTATGCTTCTAAGGTACCCATCAGCCCACTGTTGCTTTCATGATACAGGTCTGTCTTAAGCTCAGGTCTAGCAAGGTGGCTGTAAATTACAGGATATTGTAAGCGTTAAGAGTAGTTGCAAGATACTTGCAGAGTAACTGTGCTGATACTGAACGTATTGGCTGAGGGTCTTACTTTCCCAGAGGAGGTAGAGCGTCAGTCTGTGAATGCGGCGTGGTGAAATCCAGCCAGGCTGAGCAGCTCTGTCCCTAGGCATAAGGCATCCATGGAAGGACACAGTTATGTCCTGTCTTAAAAGGTAAGCCAGACTCATCTCCACTCAAGGTCAGAGACTGACAGTCTCTTCCAGCTCAGCCGTTTGAGCTCCTGTCGTCTGCTTTGAGTGACTTGTTGGGCTTAAAAATGGGAAAGTAAATGTTCCTGTCTGCATGAGAAGCATGCAGCGGCCTGGGGGGGTGAATGGCTACAGGCCATTCACACCAGGGGCTGCAGAATAGCTGTAGCCAAAAAGACTTGGCTCTGAACACTGTAGGCAGGAGTTCAAGTCTCCTCTTAAAGGCTGGAGGTTTTGCATCAAATCCCTCCTCAAACAGAGCAGGGGGATGTGGACCTTGGCCTCCCCCACCCTGGATGCGTGCTTGTATCAATGCAAACAGCAGGATGCACGCGTGGCCGTAGGGAAGCTACTGATGTAGCCTCGCACCTCTGCAAGGAGGAGTCTGGGGGGGGGGTGAATCGCAGGTGGAGGGACGTATATCCCCTGTGGCCATAAGGAATCACAACTGCGTAGTAACCAGCAGCTCTTGCTCGTCCCACAGTTGCTGGCAAGCGCTCGGGACCCCTTTGGGGAGGACGTGCCCTTGCAGGTCTCCTTTTTGCTGCTACCTTCTCTGGTCCAAGCAAGCAATTGCAAAGCCTGAGCCATTTGTCAGCAATTCTTGTTAGTTATGTCTTTCTGTCCTTTGCCCTAATGGGCTTTCCAGGATGTGCTTCCTCTTGGCTCTTTAACTCTTGGCATGTTTATAAAAGCCCTTGTCTCCTTTGGCTAGAGTTTTATTGCCGCCTCTGCTGCTGCCTTAATCCTTCTACCTTGTAGTCACACCTCTCTCTGTGGACCCCGGGGCAGCTGCAGGTTCCCAGGAGCTTCTCCATGGTGCCATGATGGATGTATGGGAAGGGGCAGGCACAGGGAGCTGAGCTCTTGGTCCATTTTTATCTTTTCAACCCTTCCCCTAAACTGGGAAGAACCCAGTCCCTCAGCTGGAGGTGGTGGAGAAGCCTCCAGTGCCAAGGGGTCCACCATCATTAGAGAATTGGCTACCACAGAGCTGCTCAGCCGCTTTGAGTTTCCATGAATTTTAAAGTCTGTCTAGTGTGTTGAGTGACTTGTGAGAATGGAAAAATAAACCCCAGAAGCCCAGAAAGCTGACAGCCAATTTGAAATTAAACAAAGCAAAACAAAAAAATTGCTTCTATTTGGAAGAAGCAGAAATACCACTGAAATGTGTCAGTCACGCTGCTTTGCCTTGGATATGATTTCGAGACGATTCGTGGAGTGACTCTCCTGCTGTGACACTGCAGGGATGATAAACGCATTCCGAGTTGTGGGATAATCCCTTTCTGAAGCTGTTAACCTGTTTCTGGAAGATGCTTTCCTGTGTCTTTGGAGTGGTTATGTTGTTCCAGTGGGTTACATTTCCTATCCTAATTCTTTCCCATACTTGATTTTAGCAAAACAGACATTTTGAACTCCAGGAGTTGCTCCAGCTGAAATCACCACTGCTTTCCACACCGAGCAAGCTGTGCAAAGCCCAGGCTCTATCTTTTCTGCTAATGTAGGAGAGCAGGTATGGCCCAGCAGCAAAGCTAAGGAGAAGAACCCTCTTGCTCTGCAGCAGTGAGGACGTAGCCTGGCCAGCTCCTGCAAACAGGCTCCTTGTTGCTGGCTTTGTGCTGCTCTCAGGCTCCCTGGGAGGCCCTGGGCACCTCAGAATTAGGATATTCCTCCCTAGGATGCTGTATGGCATCTTTTTGTGCCTATCCTCCAAATGCTGGGCTGAAGTGAGCAGGAGCTTGAGAGCAGTCCTGCAATGAGAAGATGTCCTCCTGCTCTCGGCAGCTTGGAAAGTAATTTCCCAGTCGTAGTTCTCAGAAGTTTGCTGGGCTCTGCAGGCTTTTTATTTTCCACTAGGTCCCTGGAGGCAGAAGTTTCCACACCTCTTCCCCTTTTTTGCTTTCAAGTATCTCTGCAGTTTTCTCGCTTCTTTTGAACAAATGTAAATAACAGCTTGGCATTTCCCGTTGGCAGCTGGACCCAAACCAAAGGTCAGCTGAACGGTAGTCACAGTGGCATTTCCACATGCCAGTGTCCATCTGTGGAAACGCGCTTTGTGTCTGAAGCTGGAGGTTCCTGGGAATTTGAAACTGAATGCACTTTGCCCTAAACAATTAAGCTGCATTTCAGAGCTGATTTACTTGCAGATGCTCGGGAAAACTTCCTGTAAATAATGCGTCCTCTGACCAAGGTCATAAATGCCACCAAGCAAAATAGCTGATCACTTTTTTAAGTTATCCCACTCTTTGCATCAAGGGATATTAATAATATAACGATCAGGATTACAAATCAAAGAGATTCACTAAATCAGACCATAGTTGTCTCAGCAAAAAAAGAGAAGTGGATTGAAAATCTATTATTAAACCAGCTACAAGCATTGAATTAAAGAACACGGAGTTGTTGTTATGTTTCTTTTGTTAGGATTATGTGTTCTTCTCGAAAGCGCAATGCATTTTACAGATAGAGCAAGGCTATAAATTTTGCTTTCCTAGCAGTGCTTGAATTAGATGCCGCTTGGCATCATTGTTCCTAATTGAAGTATATATTAATCTAAAATCATTACAGACTTTTGTTTTACAGTCTGTGTCGGACAATGCCAGTCACAAAGATCTTGCGAGGAGCAATAAGGTGCTACAGTCGTCATTGTGGCATCAGCCCCTTTCTTCCTACAAACGGAGGTAGGAAGCCAGGTTTGCATCATCCTGGGAAGGAGACCCACTGCTCCAGAGCAGTTCCCCCTCTTTTGTCCTTCAAACCAAGCCCTGTTTGCAAAACTGACGGGGTCTTAGGGTGAGTCTTAAGAGACTGCTGGTCTCTCCGATCCCCCAAGCATTTGAGCTTTGTAGCACTAAACAAAGGCATGGACTTTTACAGAGTGAAATGGGGATGCTATTAGGTCAATGCTGAGCATGTTTGCAAAAGCCACTCAAAATAACTGAGAAGTGTACTGTGCATCTGCATTTATAGCCAGCTACCCATTATGGATGACCTTTCCATCTCGAGTGATCTTCCAAAGAACCAGAGGGAGCTTTCTATAGAACTCAAGAAAAAAAAAAGATTTGGAGCAAGAAAAAACTGCCCCTCGCCCTGTGTCGTGCATATACACAAAGTCTCTTTCTGGCAAGGAACTAGCCGTCAAAAGACAAAGCAAAGACAAATCTTGCCACCTGGGTGTTGGCAATTAGAGGCTTCTGCACCAGAGTATCCAACCTTGACCTTAGCTGATTTAGACTTTTAAATATCAGCCCCTGTGGTGGCAGAGGGCTACTTTCTGGACACAAATATGTGCATCTTGTTAAAAAGTTACTTTCAGGGAGTAGAGAGGGTGAAAGGATTATGGTGTATATCCTAGGTCCTGAGCCAGCGTTTGCAACCTTCCGTGATGTGGAAGGTCAAAATGGATGAATTTTTCTACAACCTCCCCCCCATCCTATTTTCCAAGATGTTTCAGGGCTTAAAATAGTTTGCTTTTTCAATATTTCCGTAGGAAACAGGAGACAGTTTGTAGATAACGTTTTTCATGGAGAGAATTTTTCCAGCATGAGTCACAATTTTTGTTAGTTGTGACTTTTTAAAGGATTTTTATCTCTACATTCTTACCAGCTCTTCCTTCTTCCTACAGGATCTTGTCTCCTGTGATTTATAGCCACTTTATGATGCTGCCTACTGCCAAATATTCCCCGCGATTCACCTGACAAGAGGAAGGATTTTGTTGGAGAAGCTATTGCTCTGCCAAGTCAAAATTCCCATCCACCAAGAGCAGGCAGGGTCTGGTCCTGCTTCCATTCAGGTCCAGGTTTTTACTACCTCCATCATGTTAACAGCCTCTTTGCTCTTTGGCAGTACGTTTTCCCAGAGAGGAGCATTAGCAGCATTGGTGCACAGGATCCCTCTCTGAAAAAAAAGTGCTCTAGTGCACCCTTTTGTGCAGGGTGATGCCTTCCCAGGGCCGATGTGGAAATGTGCTGCCCGTAGTCCCCATCTCTAACATCCTGCCTAGATCAGCTTGGCAAATTTGGCTGCTCCAACACCTTTTTTCTTTTTTTTCTAAACACTTTTTGGCTTAGTACTTCTGTGCAAACACACCGGGCTCCACAAGCCAGTCTGAGCTGCTGCAGTTTCGAGGAGGGTTTAGGGACCTAGGCTAATCTGCCTTCAGATGACTTTGGTCCAGACATGAGGTGAGAGTTGACCAAATCTGTAATTAAGCTCCAAGTCCATGAGGTATTGCCCTTGAAAGCAGCATTTCTGAGTTATTCTGGCAGCAGCCAAGGGAACGGGACAGGAGGACCGTCATGAACAGATAAGTGGCTGGCGTAAGCTTTGTCTGAGCCGGGGAAATGCAGGGGAGTGCAGCAGTCAGTGACGAAAGCTCCTCGCCTTCATTCAGACAATGCGTTTGATGGCATTGTGCAAGTCCCGTTTCCACTTCGAGAAGGGAACTGGGCTGCCCTTCAAGCTGAAAATGGAGCCTGACTTCAGTGGTAGCAGCTCCAGGCTCCTACTGAGCACTGGTGAAAGCCCGATGCATTTGTAGTGTCTTAAAGTGGGGTTTTACAGTGTCTTCTCTTGGCTGTGGAGTGGGTAGAGGATGAAGAAGAAAATCAGACTGTCGTCCCTCTGCACTTCTGAATATGTGGATGTTTCACCTTGCTTTGGATGCTAGAAACAGGAAGCGTGACCTCTCCTGAAGGCACGCCATGTTGTGGCACTTGGCCTCTTACTGAGAAAAAAGGTTATCCATACTTTCTTACGGCTTAAACATAGCAAAGTATAATGGCAGAGGTATTTCCAAGTGCAGTTCCTTTCCCTGGAAGCGTTGCTCTCCTTCCCCATAGTGATTGCATAGAAATTGTCTGCTTGGGCTTCTGCATTCTCAATTATTCTCGAACAGCGCAGAGAGGTGCTTTAACGTGTGAGCTAGGTGTATAGCTCAGCAGGAAGAGGAGGTGACTCCTTAAACATTAATATAGTTTGGACAAAGTAGGAATATATTCCTAGCAGCTCACAGTGTGTAATGCTGTTCCTCCGATTTTTGAAGCAAGCATGTTGACTCACGAGGTGCTAGGTGTAGTGCTGGCCTCCTGACCTGGAGGTGCAGGAAGCAATCATTGCCATCGCTCAAGGCTGCGTGAGGGATTAGAAAAACCTTCCCAGGCACCCTCAAGTATTTCAGTCTCTAATTGCAAGCCTCTGAAGAACATCCCATTAGAGCAGCTTATTAAAAGCAACAAACGAGGCTTTCATTTATCATGACTCCAAGTCTTCAACTTAGAACTCTTAAAAGCCACAGCTATATATGGCAGAGCCTCTCCGAGATGCATCTAGCCACTAAAATGTAGTTTAATTCCAAACGCTGTCTGGGTCATCTGCAGACTTGTGGTAAATTAATTACATTGATTGCAGGCACAGTTGTTTGGGCCTATCATATATATATACACACACACATTTCATTAACAAAGCATGTAGCCCCGGGTTTGAAACGATGCCAAGGGTGTTGCTAAGTCCTCCTAGCACAGGTTTATTAAAGCGTGCTCTCTGGACAGTTGGGTTTGTAAACCACATAGGCATTGCGGGGGTCACTTTTGCTAGAACTGAAGGAGTGTCAGCTTTGTGTGCCTGAGATAACCGAAAGCGGTAGAGTTGGTCTAGCCAAGAAGCGGGGCAGCACTGGCAGGCCACGGAGGTCTGGGAGGTCCCACTGCAGCTCCAGGCTCCTCTACGTTGTCTCTGCCCATCTGCAGCCCTTTCCTTGAAGCCAGGGCTCAAAGCAGAAGTCACACCTTGTTTCAAGCCAGCTTGGCTTTTGGAGACGCTGCCGCCTCAGCGCCTCATTCTTTTCCAGCAAAGGGGATTTAACGCTGCAGGTGTTTTCTCAATAACCTTCACTGTTATGTGGACGTGTCATCTGTTAACCTGCAGCAGATTGAAGGGGCTCCTGACCACCTGTTGGAGCCAGAGGCAGGCCCCACAAGGTCTCCTCGTAGTCTGCTGGTTGATTCAGTGAGGCTGGAGGGGAATTTGCAGATAATTTTGATGTATGCAGTGCTCGGTTCAACTCTGACTGCTCCCCAATACAGGTCAGCTTGCTGGCTAAAGATCTTCAAACCCCGGAGAGGTCCGGGCGTATTTCATTGAGCGGCGATCTCTTATCCTGCCACAGCATTTGATCTCATCTGGAAAGCGTTTGCCCTGCGTGGAGCAAGGAGACAGGGAAACTCTGTCCTTCCTAGAAGCCATCAGCACCCAAATGCGGTGGCCACGAGAACACGTCAGGTTTGCTGGAGTTTAACATCCAGTTTTATTTGCCTCAGGATTTTTATATTCTGAAGTTTATCTGCCAAATCAAGTCATCCTTTTAACAGGAGCAGTAATAAATCTTCCTTTGCCCTAACTGTTCAGGCCAAGTAGTCCATTCACTTACCTATCCAAGTGCTCCTGGGACTGGAAAGTGAATTTTGTTGTCTGGTGATCCAGTTTAGTTTGTTTCTAAGAGCTTTAGATTTCCCCTAATGTTACACCTCAGAGTATTTTGACCCGAAGTGCACAGCATTATGTGATGGGTATGCAGGAGTAAGGCTGCATCAAAGCATATTTCCCTTGCACTTGAGCATTTTTTTCCTCCCATAAAGGGAGCGAGTGAGATCTGACGCGCTCTGCATTCAGTGCAGGGAACTGATTTTGTCTCAGAGCAGCCCAGTTGCTGATGAGGTGCTCAAAGAGTTTTCTTTGTTTAAGGAAACGACGAGCTATTTTCACTTTAAGGAAGTCGTTGCTTTTCAGTTTAATTGAACTGTTGTTTCAAAAACCTTGACTTTGCATGCTGAGCGGTGTGGGAAGGTCTGATGGCAGCAACTGTTAGAAAATGCCTGGGGGGAGAGGGCCTCCTAGCTAAAATGTAAGATAAGTCGTCACAGCCACAGTGATCTTCTGGAGACCTGCCAGTTCCCTGTGCTCAAATCCTACGAGGTTAAACCCAGAAAATGGCAAAATTGACTCAAAATATATAATGCTTGGGTTCCTTTTGCGTACTTATGGGTTTTGGACCATCCATTGTTAACTTGGATCAATGGAGAGGTTTAGTGAAGGCTGAGCTGCTCCCATATTAGTGTGACTGCACAAGCTAGGGCATTATGAAAATAGAAAATATTGTCAATTATAGCAAAAAAATATTGGCATCACTGTTTAGAAAATGTTAGCAAGTTGTTATGCTGATGCAGAAGGGGCTTAGAGAGACATTCTTCACCAGTTCTAATTTAAGTAAGCGCATAATCCAGTATATAATTCTGTAAATCATTGCATGCCTGAAGTTATTTTGCATCATAATTTAAGGCGGTGCAGTTGCAGAATGTTAATTTTGTCTAAATAGGCTATTTTAATGTGTTTAGGCATTGTAAATTATACTTTATAAAAATCTGATGAGCACAATTTTTTTTCAAGAACGACATGTTATGACGATTTGAGGAGAAATGATGAGTGGGATCTTCAGCTGACTTTAACCGGAGTATGTCTGCACTGTTGGGCTCCTGCTTGTATATCGTACTGAAGTTCTTCCTGTTGTTTCTTCTGCACTATGTTCTTTTTCAGGCTGAATTACCTTAACAGATTTGGTAACAGAAAAATTGTCCATGCAAGTTCTCTGACAAGGATAAAGGGCAATTACTGAGGTGCAGCCAGCCTCGGGTTACAGACTGATGTCAGGTGAACCCATAGTCTGATTAGACTAGAGTAATGGCTCGGCAGCCTTCAAAAGCAAGCTGTGGATGCTTGCAGCACCTTTCAACTCACCACATTTTGAGTTTATTTAGGCTGAATGCTCTCACACGATTCATAAGGTCCTGCTTCTGCAGATGCGTAATGCGCGTGCAGAGCTTCACTGATACAAGGAGACCCAGAAAGGGCTGTGTGAGTTGAGTACATGCATAAGGGTCTGCAAAAGCAGGGCTCACATTCATCCAGTGCTTTTTTTTTTTGAAGGAAATTGTAACTGTACCACACACATGCTTGTGGAAAAAGTCACTTTGCCTGCTCCAAGGCAGGTGCTTAAGTTTAAGCACATGGGTGGCCCCATTAATCCTAACGGTGGTACTCAAGTACAGGAAGCACATGGTTAATTGCTTTGCAGGACCAGGATCTATACGCTCTCCCCAAGGCATTTTTCCCCAACGGTAGCACACGCCATGAAATTCTTGCAGCCCAAGATGTTAAGGTCCAAATAATAATTGCAATAAGAAGGAAGAAGTGCATATAAAAATGTTGCGAATGTATTTGCACCTTGCCAGGGCGGTGGGATTATTCCTTATCCTGGGCCTTTTTGTTTGCTTTTCAGTTGCTGCGATCATGGCTGTGGGTGGGCTTCTTCTCTGCGTGCTGTTGCCTATCCGAGCCTAACATGGTCAGTGTTCCCACCTGTGCTGGCTCCTATTTCGTGTCCTCCCTCCATGTTTTCTGTGCACAGTCTGCCTCTCCCTCCCTTTCTGGTATTGGCCTAGAAATCGCTTTCTCATCCAATCTCTGCAACCCAGCTTGTGTATCTCAACAACTGGAAATAGCCTGACCCGAAGCAGAGTGTGTCTCCAGCAGGGGTCCCAGGGGAAAAAAAAACCTGATATGTTATGCCATGATCGATCCAGACACCGCACCAGCAATGTCATGTGTCATAATAAAACATCACATATGCTGGACACTTCATCAAATTCTGCTTCTTGTCACCAAAAGGGGCTGGGGGAGGTAATTTGTCCCCAGAAAGGAGACGGGGGGCGGGCGGGAATGGAAAGGTGTTTAGTGGCATGTAATGTGCATGTCAGTGAAACAAACCGTATGTCATCGACATACATGTCAATGTATGACATACACGGCAATGACATGATGCTGTTAGCCAACGATATGCTCCAGCAGCGTTGGACATATCTCTGCGGGCGTCGAGAGCTGCGTGTCCGTGCTGCATGCTGCCCCGTTCTGCCACCATCTGGGCTGCCTCACCAGTTTCTGCTCTCTTGTACTCTCCCCTCTTTTCTAACTACTCAAAGGAAGGGTGATTTTAATTTCTGTTGGTTTGACTGGACGCAAGTTGAGTTGCTCCCTGAAGGGAATGTGTTTTAGGTCTCTGAATCGGCTGTAATCTGTGCAGGCAGAGATCTTCCTAAGCCTCCTAGGAGACTCATGAAATCACCATCCCCGTCAGATAGCTGCTTGAGACCATAGGAGCGCTGAGACGTCCCACGTGCATTGTTAAACTGGGAAGGTTTTGCAGCATAACTGGGAGAGAGGTGTGAAGCTCTTCTACTGTGTTTTCTGGGGGATGCTGAGGCTTTGCATCATGGTAGCTGGGTCATGGTGCAGTCCCTGTCTGTGGGGCACAGCAATCACCAAGGTGGACCGTTTTTGGGTCCTCTAGTGCTGTATTTTGGCTCTGACGGAGGCCTGAACCAGGGAGGAGTTTGCAAATGCCAATCACAAAGGCCCTAAAGCAGAAGCCTTTTTTTTTTCCTGTTGGAGCTTTTTTAAACTGGTTTTCATGACTTTTGAGTAGTTAAGAGCAGCATTAGCAAGCAAGGCTGCTCAGCTCAAAGTATATGGCTGCAAAATGTTCTTCTGGTACATGTGGTCATTCCTGCGAGCCACCGGTTTGGCAATGATTGCGCTAAAACAAAACCTCCCAGTACTTCTGTTGTCTGTTGTGACTGTGCCACCAGTGCACGAGCGGTCGCTCGCTGGGAGTCATGCTTCAAATGTCCCCAGCAAGGCCCCCAACCAGAGAGTGGCAGCAATGAAAAATACTTCTCAGAGGAGACCGGGAATGGACATCCAGGCTACGAAGAGAGATGCATAGGGAAAACTTGGCTGACCTGGAAAACACCCTCTACAAGTTTCCTCCTAAGCTGCGGAGAGACTAACGTGGCAGCAAGCTGGGAGGGGGAAATGGGAAAAGTGACTTCAAGGCACGGACGCCATCGGCTGTGCTATGGGAAGGCACGACAGCCTCTTTAGAGAGATTTATGAAGATCACTTCAGAGGGAGCTTCCTGTGAGAGGGGGAAACGGTATCTTGTTTAAATTATTTTTAATTGTTCTGGCCATGGTTTAGGAAAGCAGGGAGTCATTCAGTGTGAGGGCAGGGAAAGACTAAAAGCTAAAAATACTGCTACTGGAATTGTGAAACTTCCTTTGTAAAGCATCCAAGTTAATCAGAGGTCGAAGGCAGGGTCGCACCCTGTAGAGGGGGACAGCAGTGGCTGGGAAAGCAGCTGAGAAGATGGTGAGCCTGCAGCCCTTAGGAAGGGAACCTGCCCTGGTTCCTCTCAGGCCGGTCGTCTAGTGTTTCTTTGAACAGAGCCAAAGGTCTTAGCTTGTCATCTCAAGACCTTTTACTGCTTTTTTGATCCCGTTCTCTGAATTATAGGACTTTGAGAGTAGATAGAGGAGTTGAATGAGTCAGATTCCCAACCTGCATGGATTGCTCCAAGTTACTGCAGGTGAAAGTTTGGTCCAGTGCAATGGAGGTAACTCATTATAGACATCAAAAAAGCAGGAGGAAAGTGAACAGAAAAGTGGGGAACAACTTCCAGTATAAAAGCTGTTCGTTTTACACCAGTCCCTTTGAGTATTGGGACCAGTATCTCTGGTTTTGTGATACTGAATATATTCTAGGATTGCAAGCAGCAAAGGCAAATGCTGAACATGGACCAACGTCGCTAGAGGTAGACTTTTGCCTCTGGCTCTCAGTATCAGTGGTGTTTATCCAGGATAAAACTATTTGCTGAACAAGTTATTGTCTCCACACATGAGCTGAGGCGACAGGAACTTAGCCAGATGGACGGAGCCCTGTTTATTTGTTCCTCTGGGTGGAACGTGGCCCTGCCCTGCAACACGTATGCAGCCTTATTGCTTTAACATCTTGGAATAAATAGTCTGAAACAAGCACTAACCCCTTGTAAACAACAGCATTGCGGTCCTCACAAACCTCCTGTAAAATGACAGCTCAAGATGGGTTGGATGCATTTCCTCAAAGTTGATTTATTGTAAAAGATGTGCTTCTGAGTAAAGGTCTCACCCCTGAAAAACAGCTGGCGTTTTGTCTCTGTTTCAGAGAAGTGTACAGAGTTAATTTATATTTAAGAGATTAAATACATATATAAATCTCTGCAGGACTGGGACGGGAGATTGCATGCTGCTTCAGGGCACAAACCATTCGATGGTACTGACTGCATCTAGCAAGGTGAGGTCCCTTTCCTCATTGGGGACATCTAAATGCTGTCCTCATGTGCATTTCCAGTAACACCTTGGCTGTGTGCTGAAATGCTTTGGCCTGTGCCTATTAAAAAAAGTATATAAAGACTCTCCCACATCACTGCCTAGGGCTTGGTTGTCCAAGATCCAGCTCTGCAGTCCCCTGACTGTGTCCTGCCTGGGCTGTGACCAGAGTGGTGGCCCCAGCTAGGGAGATGGAAACTCCTTCCCTTGGGCATTCTGTGGTTTTTGGGGATGCCTCGGGTGGCCGAGGGACCACACACCACCCAGCAAAGGCACCCCGAAGCACAGGGTCAGATGCAAAGTATCTCCATCGGTCCAGAGACAGCAAGCATCTTCCTGCCTTGTTTCTTGAAGGATTTTTCTCTGTGAATTGGCTTCTGCCATGCAAGGCAGTGGGCATTGGTTTCCCAGCTGGATTCTTCGTCTTTCTACCCATCCGTTTTATATTTTATAAACCTATATAGGGATCATTTTACAACTTCACTTTTATAATCTGCGCTATAAATATTTTACGAGCTGCCTGCCAATCTGCAAGTAGTTTTTAAATAAGACATGATGCCTTAAGAATATTTAAAGTCTCACTTTTTTTTTTTATCTGATACTTTTATTGAAAAACACAGAGCTGTGCAAGGAAGACATCTGCTTTCTAGGTACAGAAACTGGGACAAATCCACAACAGGAGTAAGTGAGTTGAGATTCAGGTGTGCTGCTGAATTACGTTAACTCTTTGGCTGAGTGTCTCCAGCCCAGTGGGAGATGAAGTGAGTGTCAGGATCTTTATGCTTGTGCTGTATGTGATATAGAAAAGATATAGGAAATCTATCATTTGTACAATGACAATAAACTAGAGAATGAGTTCATCAGGAGGCTTTTGACTCACAGTTTTTCCAATAAATATTAAGAGCAAATGCACATGCAGAAATGGGTTATTTCACAAACAAGTGGGAGCTTTTTCTTCCCCCAAAATATATTGCAAAGCCACAATATTTAGATACTTTTATTTGCCAGTAAGATTCACCTAGTGAATCAGGACTGTTAACCTGAAATAGCAGATTTTTATGGGATTTAGTTGGGGAAGAAAGGAGAAAAAACTGCTTGTGTGTGTTATTTAAAGCATCTGAAGGTCAAGAAGGGAAGAAGTGCGGTTTAGTCCCAGTCAGCGTGTACACAGCTTGTTTCTCTGGGTAGTTAGTTTAGGAAAGCGGGCGTGTGAAGGGCAGGTTTTGCAGCAAGCTTTGTTAGTGATGCCCAACTGTTGCTTGAGAGTTGCAGTCCACTGGCTGCCATTTCACTTTGGTGTGTCTTGTTGAGGCTTGTTTTAATGATGCTTTGGGGGTCCCAGAGCCTGATTTCGTATGCTAATGTGATGTGCTGCTGTATGTGTTACCCAGCTCAAGAGAGGGGGACAGCTTGAGCTAACTGGTTTGCATTGGCCCTTTGAGTGTGTCCCTGGGCAGTAAAACATGGACTGTTGGACATCAAGGTGTGCTTGGATCACTGGACGCAAGCGATGGCATGTTCCCGATTTCTCTCTCCTCCCTCTTTATCGTTGAAGAATCAGGAGATGTGGGTACTAAAAAGGACAATGTTAGAAAAGCTTATTTATAGGTGAAGTACTCCAAACCTGAGGAAGAGATGAGGGCATTTGCTCTAAAAGGTAAACAGAAGAATTCTTGTATATGTGCGTTTGGTAGAAGGATGAATTGAAACATATGTGTATTTTTAAGAGGAAAATTGAGTTGTATACCTCAATCCAGAAAATTACTTCTGTGGCAAACTGATGTAACTTTTGGCAACTTGCAGCAGAAAAAACTGGGGTTGCCAGAAGTGGGAATCGATACTGATACTCATATCTCTAGTTTATATACTTAAAGAGAGAAGCAGTATCATGAAGGGGAAGAATCCATTTTCACCCAGGGATTGTGAACACCAAAATACGCTTTGAAATGACCCTTACTCCCAGGGTCTCCGCGTACACCTAGTGCTTAGGTTTTTGAGTTAATTGGGCAGGACCCCATCTTGGGAAATGGCACTGCTGCTGCTAGAGCAAGGCGACGAGCACCGACACGCAGATATCTGAGCCGTGTCTCTGAGCACCTCATTGCCGCTCTTGTGGGTTTTGCATTTGGAGCGTGATGGTCTCAGCTTGGTTGCTGCTGCTGAAATCGTGCCCTGCATGAATAGCCTGGCTGTTTATCAAGTGCGACCCATTTATCTCCCTGCCTGTGCCCCCAGACCACCTGTCAGCCTCCCCCCTTGTCTTCTGCACCTTGTCCCGATCCATTCCCCTGCGCTTGCACAACCTTTGCCGTCTGTTTTTTCCTCCTCTCCCCTTGGCACAGGTCTCCCCTTCTCCCCAAGGTAAGCTTGCGTGCCTGCTCCCCTTCCCTGGAGTAACCCTGGGAGGTCATGTTGCTTTTCTCCTCTTCAACCCTCCAGTGTCCAGCTCTGCTGGGGCCAGCTCAGCGGCGATGCATGTGTCCTGTCCTATTGGGGCTTTTGTTTGTAATCGTGATAGTTTCACAAATCTAGTGCCAAATTCCTATAGCCTAAAGGCTGCTTGGCCCCTTGCATCCAGGCAGACAGCAGTTCCCTGTAATAGGACTTCATGCTGAGGGCAAGTTTCATGCAGATGCCTGTTACTGCCTCCTCCTAACTGCAGTTTTGTTTCTGCTAATTGTATGCTCCTCCTTGCTGTGAGTGGTGCTTGGAGTGCTCGCATCCCCCTATCTCAAAAATCATGGGCAATGGAAGAGAAGACTCCAAGTTTCTCAGCTTTAAGTGGCTTCTTGGTAACCTGAGGCTTTCTTTGAGGTGTGCCAGCTAGCGATCCCACTGCGTGCTGGCTGGTTTGCAGGCGTCTGTTGTAGGTTTTTCACTCTATCAAGCAGTGTCCCTCTGTCTCATGTCCATGCAGTTTGCTTTAAGTATGATCCACTTCCTGTATCGTTATCATATCCAGTCCTTGGAAAGACTGGCATATATGTGTGCATCATACATACCTCATCCCGTATTTTTAAATGTGTATATATATGTGTATATAGCAGTTCTCCTTACCTATGCAGTTACCCTGTGGCTTCCTACGTGGTTGTCTAAGTGAAGCAGGTCTCAGAAATGCCACCAAAGCAGCCAGTTAGTGCTAATGCAATAACATAGCCTAGAGAACCAGCTAGAAGGATGAGGGACCAGCCAGGGACTGAGGATGCCCTGGGGGAGATGCGACTCCCATATGACTGTGGTTGCAACTCCATGGTAGGATTCAGCAGTATTCTTGCACTGCCTGGTGCTAATGTGGGAGCAAGATAGGTCAGGCAGTGACTGCGTGCCTTCTTCCATCTTTATTGCTGCTGGGCAGAGGGGATTGCGTGAATGATAGCTCCCCTGCATAAAGACAGGAGATGTGCAGGAAACCCCATCAGAGCCAGAAATACATAGGAGACCCTTGAGGGCAGTGAGGCAACAGATTTTGGGTTTTTTAAGCCATTATTTTGCATGCATATAAGGTGTTAATGTTTACACAAGGCTATTTTCTAAAGTATCAAAATTTAAAGTTCTGTGCAAATGCCCAGTGGATGAAGGAGAGCATGCAATACATACAACATGGTGCCTGCAAAAGCTCTGTGGTCCAGATCTTGCTTTTGCGATTTTAATGTTTCATCCCATTCATCTTCCATCATCCTTCCTGTTCTTGCTTTTTTGTCTTCTTAATAATAGCTGAATTAGATGTATGGTAGGGTGGAGTTGTTCAGAAGCATCTGTGGGATTTGGAAACACAAGTCCAATTGAAAATCAGTGGGCCTTGGGCCCTGAATCCCGTTAGGGAAATTGCAAGTAGTTTGATGAGCTAAAACTGGGACAGCAGCAATACAGCCGCTAGAGAGGTTGGTTTCGTCACTGCTCTGGGGTTTTGTGCTTTGTGTGATTTGAAGTAAAGAGCAGGTTTCTGCCATGCCGGAGACAAAAACATTCTTCTGGGTTTTTTTTCCAGGCGATGTGGCTATAGCAAGGCTAAACAAGATCCAGAAGAAGAAAAGATGCATTTTCATAATGGCCACAGTGAGTAAAGATCAAACATGTATATATGTGTTTTTGATGCTCTGTGGTAATGAGAAATACAACTGAGAGGTTGTTTTGTTTTTTAAAAAAAAATTATCTGGTTTTGCTGGTAATTCACAAAAGAATTGTTTGTTCTGTTATTCAGTAAGTCCCCACCTGCTCTGCTCTAAGCCCCATGGAGAATTGAACATCTGAACAGTCCTTATACGTGCCCAGCTATTCACACCTGTACATTTGCAGCAGATCTCTCTAGTGAGCCATTTTGTTCTATTCCTTTGTCTTTGCTGTATGACCCAAGGTGCAATTAATTTTGCCTGGTCAGCACATAACAACTCTACGTTTTTGTGGTCTGGATGCGTCAGTCCAGAATACCTGTTTGAAACCCTTGCTCCACCCCAGCCAACTGTGAAGACCAAGCCCGCAGCTACTCTTTGCCTTGGATGCCTCTGCAGAGGTGTGAGGGATAACACCTACTTCTTGCTCCTAGGAAGCTTTCAGAAATGCTGTGTTAATGTCCTCATATACAAAAAACCTCTGCGGTGATGCTAGAAAGTACATCTCATGGTTACTCTCATGGTCAGTCCTTCCATACATCCAAAGCCAGTGTTTGAAAAGCCTTCCTTCGTCAAGTGCTGTGGGATCTGGGGGTGGGTAACAGTAAGGTGCCTTTTGGGGTGGAAAAGGGAAACGCGTCTTGAGTGGAAGTCAAATTTCCATTAGTGCTATGTAATGAAGGCAGCAGGAAGCAAATCAACTAAGAGCCACAGTGTAACGTAGCTGTCTTATTAGACTGATGAGCAGTTCTTCATGTGAGTAGCCTTAATGATTGTCAAAACAAACTTATAATATGGATAATGAAAATACTTTTTCTCCTCTCAAGTCCTGGAGAAAAAGCCTGCTATTGCTTATATTTATACTGGTACAAACCACAGGCTTTGTAATGCAAATATTCAGTTCATTTAAATCTCAGTAACTCCATCTGAAATAATGTGGCCGATTGATTAGCTAATATGTGACTGGTAGGGCATAATTTATTGCAGCTCTCCATCAACCCCCATCCATTCAACTTGCTTTGCAAGTTGTTCCCTTAACATTTTGCTTTTTTTACTTCCTCCTGACATACCCTCTCCAGATCCAGAAAAGGGATCCTTTTGCACCAGACCCCAGACCAGCCCGTTAGGCAGCACCGAGAGGGATTTTTAGCTGTGCATCGTTCCAGCTGAGCACTATCATGTGCTTTTCTAAATATGATGAACTTGCACGTATGTCACATATAAACTAAATGTCATTTTCCAAGAATGCTATTCATTTTCCCTGTAGAAATAGGTTTCCCTGCTACAGTGTTTTCCAGCAAAGCAGAGTGCAAGGGACAGGAGTGTGTATTGCCCATCTTCTGTCATGCCTTTTGCCATTAACACTCTTAATTTGTGTTTGCAGTTAAGCTGCCTGGAGTAAGGACCTACATTGACCCACACACCTACGAGGACCCTAATCAAGCTGTCCACGAGTTTGCTAAGGAAATTGAAGCTTCGTGCATAACTATTGAAAGAGTTATCGGAGCTGGTATGGAAATACATTTCATGACCCTTAGCAGCGTGGAGGGTTGGCTTTCTTAACACGAGAGATCTGGGAAGCGCCGTGAAATACTTGTGCTGTTAGGTACCCTGCAAGTGGTGGGGAGCATGTTCCAGCTGAAGTTTGGGACAAACCTGTCATTGTCTGCAGTTTTGAAATCAGGGACTGAACTGAAAACAGCAGAAAACAGTCATGTTTAGACAAAGCTGAGTTATTTCGATGGACGCTAAGAGAAATGAGTCACTTAATTTTCAGGTTCTTTTCACCATTTTAACCTTTTTCTCGTCCCCCATTAAGGTCAGTCTTGAAGCAAAAATTAAGAAGTCATCTGGGAGAGAAAAAAAGCACAAACCAAAGTCCAAAGCTTTTAACTTCCTTGGTTAAAAGAAGGAACTCCCATTTTCTTTCCAGTTAAGCTGGAATCCAACCTTAGGAATATTTTCTATCCTCTGAAATTGTATTTTTGGAGGTAATTTACTGTTCACCACAAAAAAAAAAGGAAAAAAAAATCCATTTGGGTTACTTTTTAAAGTGGTCGTAAAATCGGAAAGGGTTTATAGTCTATAAAAATACATGTTGCTGTGAAAGGCTAACAGCATTCCTTCTATGTAGCTTACCAAAGGAAGGTTAAGAAGTAAGTGGCTTGTGTTTTACAGCTATCTACACAAGGCGATGATATAGGATGTGACAGGACTCTATCATCTAGTAGACAAAAACATGAAATGAGGAAAAGCCCCAATAGAATATAGAGCCATAGGTCTTTAAAGATAGGAAAATTACATTTTTCTTCCTAGTTTCCTTGTGCTTGTGAATTACTTGGCTGGTGGTACGCCAGCTATTTGAGATGGTGATCACTGTGATGTTCAGCTTTCCACATCCATGAATGCGGGACAGCCCTGCGTGCTTTTGATCAGCTATCTATAGGGGCTGGGCTGCATGCTGTAGACAGATGCACGCCGTGCATTCCCTTGACGTGCTGTGATCCCATTCTTTCTGTGATCTCTGAAGGTGAATTTGGGGAAGTCTGCAGCGGGCGGCTGAAGCTGCAGGGAAAGCGTGAGTTTCCGGTGGCTATTAAAACCCTGAAGGTGGGCTACACAGAGAAACAGAGGCGAGATTTCTTGGGAGAAGCAAGCATCATGGGGCAGTTCGACCACCCCAACATCATCCACCTGGAAGGCGTCGTCACAAAAAGTAGGTACAAGTTGCTGTGGACTGCTGTCCTTGAACTCTGGCTGACGGGAGAGTTGGTTAGGGGAGGAAAACTTGGGTAACTTGCGTTTTGACTGTGCCTTTCACAGTTTCTTTAAAAACAATGAACTCCCCTTGTGCAAAATGTCACGCTTTGTAGGTCCAGCCAGGAACACGTCCCCCAACATTGTAAAGGGGGTTTGTTCCCGAAGGATTTCAGCGTTCTTCTAGCTAGAATGGATAGATAATGACTAAAATAATAAAAAATGTTAACTCCCTCTGCAAACCTTGCCTCACCTAGGCATAATATGCATGGGCTAAGAGAAAACCCCTCTTCAAAGGCCCAAAATTAAATGAGACAGAAATAGGAGTTGATATGCCTGGCCAGCCTCAGGCAGTGGGTGGGTGATGGAGACGGCAATAAGCCTGGGACATCTGAATGCTGGTGGAGTGTGCTGCCTGACTTCTGCCTTGCAAGTAGTTCAGCAGCACCTACCGCCTGCAAAGTGCAAGAGCATTTTGAACGCAGCGACATTGAGCCACCCGCTAAGTTTTTCGAGCAGGCTCGCTTCTTATTCCTGCCTTTATATGTTTACTTTTGAAACCACATGAGCCCCAGGGTGAGGAAAGATATGCCAAGAAGTGGGAAGCGATTTCCCTGGCAGAGAAATGGGGAGGATTTTGCTACTGAGATTCCGGGGGGGGGGGAGGGGGGGAACACCGCAATC